TTGATTGTAAGAATGAAATTGAGTGAAAAAAAAAAAACGAATTTCAGAGAATTGAATTGTTTAAAACTTGTTTTACTGAAAATTGTCAATTAATTATGTTTGATTGATATAATTTTACACCTGAAAAATATTAAAATTTTAGATCTTTTGGTATTCGTTTGATTTTATTTTCCATGAAAATTATCTGTTAAATGAATATGATTTGTTAGAATTGAGGATAAAATTTGTTTCTATTGTCAAAAAAAAAAAAAAAATTGCTTAAAAAAGTTTTTCCTAAAAAACCAAGAGAATGTGGAAAACAAATTTCAAGAAAAATTTAGTAAATCAAACATGAAAAAAATGTGGAAATGGATTTTAATTTCCATTTTCCACGACAAAGAAAGTCAAATCAAACAGGACCTAAATCAACCATCCAATAGCAATTTAGTAATTGAACTATTATAAATTCTCAATTTTTTTTTTTTTAAAAATTAAATATATATAAATTTTATTATTTCCTGAAGACGTGTTGAAGTGCTCCGAAATAGAGTACAACGATTTCAACACGAAAATCAAAAGGAATATATGCTTGAATACGTGTATAAATTTAGCAAAATGAGAAAGGAAATACATAAAAGGAAAAAAAAAATTAGATATTTAGAGATTTTGATATAAGTTGATCAAATATTTACATAGTTCTATAAAATATATGATTAAAATTAATTATTGATTTCAATTTATATTTTAATTCAAGTTTTTTAATCCACACTAAACAGGGGATTAAGCAAATATGCGTTAAGAGTGATTGTTTGATAATGAACAAGAAACACTTCATTTTAGGATTCCATTCCATCGATTACAACAGTCAAATTACTAATACATATTTTGGAGAAAATTAAGCATAATTTTTAGCAATTAATTCTCTATGGATGAAAATTTGGAGTGAATGACTATATTGTACAAGTTTTTGGGTCGTGGTCGCTTGTACAATACCTTGCCATGTCAAACAACTTAATAAAATTCGTGACGGAAAATTCGTGGTTTGACTACCAACGCTTTATTGAGTAATCCTCGATGTTTTACACGTGTAACACGTGGTTGATGCATTTAAAAAAAAAAAATTTAGACATGCAATTTGAGTGTCGCTCACGCTTTTTTACGATTCGTTGTCCATGTCAATCAAGGAGTATGATGTTGATCTCATTAACTTTTGACATTTTAGCTCATTGTGATGTTATGAACTTTCTTGATACAAATTGTATTTGTCTAAAAGTAAGTTAAATTTATTTTTACTTACTTATTTTGTTAAATAAAATTTTCAAAATCATATTTAACTAACATAATTATTTATTTTATATAAAGAACTCTGTATAAATTTGATAAAAGTAATAATAATGATAATAGTAACACAAAAGTACATCATTACAATCAATGTCTCATTTTAGTATTTGTAGACATACACAACAATTAATTACTTTTGTTTATCAAATGCTCAAATGTTAATTTTGAAAAATTCAATAATTTTTTTTTTAAAAAAAAATTATCAAATACTTATTTGATTATTCCAACAATTAATTTTTTATTTAACACAACCATAGTTGATTTTCTTAAAAATATAATAATATCAAATCAAGCAATAGTTTTGCATGACATTGATTGATAAAGAATGATCACCTTCCCCTCATTTTATAATCCCACCTCATTTCTACCACCACAAATAAATGTGTATGTACATAAATTTATACATATGTGTATGTGAGCATGATATTTTAAATGTGATGTCATATTCTGTGACGATTTGCGATTTCATATTCCAATATGTTATAGTGATTAGGGGTGACAATTGTTCGATTTGAACGATTTTTGAACTATTTTCAAATTGAACTATTTCAAACATTTTGGAAAAATTCAAAACGAAATCAAACTATTTCATATTACAAAATAAACCAAACCGAACCATTTTCAAGATTTGATTTCAAACCACAACTTTAACGACACAAAAAAAAACATATTTCTAACAAGCGAAAAAATAAGTGCGTATGTTTGAAATTTCACTATAACACTTGAATTGAAACTTCCTAAACATAAATGATACAATACTAATATATTTGTTTCTGTGGAAGTTTAAATCAATAAAATAATACAATGTTCAACCATAAAGTTTAAGCTTACAATTTCGTTATTTAGAAAAGAAAGTATTATTATAAACAAATGACAAGATTTTTCATACATGTCAAAATTTGAATTGGAGGCAAACAAGACAACTATTTATTGAATGATTCATGTTATACTGTTAGGGCAGTTGGTCCCCTGTGATAGGTGGGGTGCCCCCTTGATCATTTGATTCCATCCCACCTATCGTCTTCATTATCACCATATATATACACATACATGTTCATATACATATGCTAATGTCTTTACAGGGATGGCAACGAGATGAATTGGGATAGCTATTCATGTCCTCCACCCCGTTGGGTATTTCTGTCACCATACCCATACCTGATTAAGGCGGGGGCGAGAGGGGCATGACCCACTTTTTTCCTATGTTTCATTGTATGTGTCGATCAAGAATGAGCACGACGTCAAGCTCATGGACTTCGACATTTTGGTTATTGGACTTTTTTGGTAAAAACCATGATTTATACTAGGGTAAAATTATGTATGTGTTTAAATTTCATTTTTAGTAACTTAAATTTTCCGGTCAAAGAAATTTTAATTTTTTAATCTCATTTAACAACTACTATCCACAATAATTATTAATTTTCAAATTTGGGTCATGTCATCGTGCATGAAATGAGAAATAAGTCAAGGACTTGATTGAATTATTGGCCACATATGACATTATACGTTTTGTTAATTCTTGTTCTGGTGGCAGGTAAGATTTCACTCTCGGAGACTCCATTTTATAAAAGTTGAGTATGTTAACATCATATTTTTTTCAGAATTGTATTATTAATTAGCAAATATTATTTCTAATGATTCAAAAATTTCATTAAGAGAGTATAATACTCACTTGCTCTTCTCATATATATATATATATATA